GCCCTCCCTCCTCCCGGGCTCCTGACAAGCCCATAGCACACAGACTCATGGAAGGGACCCACAAGGATCATCAAAGTGCAACTCCAGGCCCTGTGCAGGACACCCCAACAATCCCACCATGTCCCTGAGAGCATTGTCCAAGCGCTCCTTGAGCTCTGGCAGCCTTGGGGCTGTGACCACTGCCCTGGGGAGCCTGTTCCAATGCTCAATCACCCTCTGGGGATCCCATCATGGGACCCAAAGAGATGACAAGAACCCACTCAGATGAGGACAAGCCTTCTCAGACCTACCTCACAGGCTGGCTCCTGTGGTCTGGTTTGGAGCAGGACAAGCTACCTGTCCTCCTGATTCCCTGCAGGAAGTCATTTGCAGACCCTGCCCTGACGTCCATCACCCTCTTGGCTCTGTGGCTCTCCCACCTCAGGTAGCGCTGATGGGCCTCGAAGCACTTGGTGCAGAGGAACTCGAAGCACTCGGAGCACCAGAACTCCCCAGATTTCCTGCAGTTGTCGCAAAACAAGTCAACTCCATCAACCATCTGCTTGTAGACCCTCAGCCGGGCCTGCAGGTTGGTGAAGAGCAGGTTGTCCACAGCAGGAATGCCATCGGCCTGCGGGATGGCCGTGCAGCACACGGGGCACTGCCCAACAGGCTCGTTCTTGCTCAGGCAACCCAGGCACAAGGTGTGGAGGCAGGTGAGGAGCTTGAGGTTGGGCGATTCCTGCTGGCAGCCCTCGCAAAGGAGGAACTGAAAGTCATCTTCTAGGAGCTTGGGGAGAGAGAGAGGGAGAGGGTGAGGAATAAGCACTGAGGAGTGTTTTTAAGAACTTCTGAAACCTCATCTTGGGGGTAGAGGTGACCCAAACCCCCTTCTTGGAGCAACCAGTGAGTAACCACTTCCCACCAGTGATGCCCAGGACAGAGTTTGTCCCGTGCACTGGGATGAGGTTGGATGGACAGGGCCCTGCTGAGCCCTTCCTCTCCCTCTAGCAAAGAGGAAACATTCCCCCAGCTATGGGGCTGGGGAGGACTGAGGAGGGGCAGATCGAAGGGTGGGGGCACGGAGGAAATAGCTAAAGATCCCTGAATGACACCCTGGTAGAGGTGGGGACCATCGTCTCAGACACCCCCACCCCCTCCCTTCAGCCATTCCCTCTGGGCCCCGAAACTTACCCTCTCTCACGGGGCCGGGGGGGGCTGGACTGAGGACCGGTCCTATCCTCCCCACCACCCACCAAACCGGGAAGCGGAGAAACACCCCAAACTCTCATCCCCATCCCCACGCCCTGGGACAAGGGACTTTTTGGTGTCCTGGACACCTCTGGTCCCCTCACGCGGCCGGAGCCCCCTCGGCGTCCCGCCCGCATCCCTCCCGCATCCCCCCTGGACCGACCGGGGCTCGGGAGCCGGGACGGGAAATGGCGGGCGGGAAGAGACGGATCCCTGCCTCCGCCCCGCCTGTACTTTCGGTTTCTGCGGCTCCGGGAATAACTCCTCCTCCGTGCCTGGGCGGCGGAGCCTCAGCGAGCCCGCTCACAGCCCCGCTTCCCGCCCGGAAAACGCTTCACAGCCGGCTCAGCCCTTCCCGGCCATCCGGGAGGGAGGAAAACCCAAGATCCCCGCCAAAAGGCTTCTCCCCCAAGGAGAAGCACCCCCAGAAATGTGTAGCAGCGTCCCCGTCCCTGCTGTGCTTCAGACGGGCACTGCCAAAGGCGTTTTCGGTGCCCTTTGCAGGCCCTGAGGGAGCTCGGGGGCTGTCCCTCCACCTTGGAGAGGATTTCCACATCCCTTTGTCCTGTATTCCTTTGCTCCTTCGTGCAGGGCATCGGTACCCCCAGCCGTCTGCACCATGGGGACCATCATGAAAGGGGACCACCACAAACAGGGGACCACCATGACTGGGGGACCACCACAGAAGGGGGACTGCCACAAAGAGTGGACCACTACAAAGGGGGAGCCATCAGGAGTACTTGGGGTTCACCTCTCCTGGCACACCCAAAGGCAGAGGGCATGGCAGGACACTACTGTCAACTCCTCTGGGGTCTTTTGATGCCCTGAGGATCCCCAAAGCCTGGCCCAGGCCAGAGCCACCCAGCCCCAGGCTTTGAAGAAGATGTTTAACAGGTGGTTTAGTCTGGTTGCAGCTGTGAAACATTTCAGTTCCAAACATTTCAGTTTTGGAAACATGTTAATTCTCTTTCCCCCTGTCCCATCCTCTGGCAAGGAGCCCCTTGCATGGATGGGACAGGACAGCAAGACCACTCAGGTTTGTCCCAGTGGTCCAGCAGAACATCCTGGAGCTGATAAAGCTGCCTGGAGCTCTGAGACATTTTAACCCCTGGGGTGTTGGGTGCTGTTAGGGAGCTGAGCATCCCCCAAGAGGCCACACAGCATCCTGCCAGCTCTTCCTCACCGTTCCAGGCCTTCATGTGTTCATCACAATTGAGCCTCCTTGACTGGCAGCTCCTCCCATGCTCTGGTCTCTGCCTTGGGGGAAACTGAGGCACGGGGGGTGCAGCCACATCTGCCTGCAGAATTCACGAGCCCAGCACTGCCCAAGGCTGCACACCAGGTTTATTGTCCATCGAGAGTGGATAGAAAGGAAGCTTACAAAATAAATAAATATCTCTATATGCCTATATCCAGTCCCCGCCCCCTGTGGACACACCTCACAGCACACACGCAAAAGGATCTTGAAGCACAAATTAGCGCAATCACTAATTACAAACCGCTGTGTGGGGAAGGCAGGTCATCCCCCAAATTGCCACCTCTGCCACTTCCCCGTAAGTGCCGTTATCCCATCAGTGGTGCCACACTGGATCCCAGTTCCAGCCTGCTGGTGGCATCCCAGCCTGGTCCAGCCAGCCCTCGTGGCCCGTTTTGGCTGCCCACCCCATCCCATGGCTCCTGTCCTCGGCCACAGCGTCCCCAAGCTCTCCTCCACACAACTGCTCAGCTCACGCCCCTTCCAGTGAGATCCCTGGCCATGCACCAGGTTGTGGGGACACCAGGACATCAGTCTGTGCCCTGGTGGCACATTGGCCCAGGAGATCAAGGCCAGGTTGGATGGGGCTTGGGGCAACCTGCTCTAGTGGAAGATGTCCCCTGCCCATGGCAGGGGGTGGAACTTTAAGGTCTTCCCACCCAAACCAGTTTGTGATTCTATGAAACTGGAAGCAAACTGGCACACGGTGAGGTGCCAGCTGGTTCCTGTAATGTTGTAAGCAGGGGACGAAGAACAGAGGGAAAGCCAAGGACAAGGACGGGCAGTGGAGCTCAGCCTCAGTTTCCCTGCTCCGATGTTCACCCAACTCCCACAGCCTCCACAGGAAGGGCAGCAGGAGCTCCAGCATGGCAAGGCCCCCCACCACACAGCACGGTCCTCCCAAATGTCCCCACGCCTCGGCACACGGACAGAGACACAAGCACACGGACACGCGCCCACGCACACGCTCTATCAACGCTGCTTCATCGCCTTGACGAGCTCCTCCAGCTTCAGGGCCAGGTGCAGGTCACCTGTCACCTGCAGCCTCCCGCTCATGTAGGCACTCAGGGGGCGCAGGTCACCCAGAAAGAGGTCCTGAAGGTCCTTCTCCGACACTTGCAGGGTGACATCAGGAACGCCCTCGGGCACGCCGCGGCAAATCCGCCCGCTGCCTGTAGGACACGGTGGGTGGGAGAGGGAGAAACAGTGGGTTCAGGATCCAGCCTTGATCCAGCTGGTGTTTCCCCCACACACATTTCATGAGATTTGAGATGGGCCAGATGACAGATGGGCCTCCTCCTGGCAGGGAGACTTTGGAGACAGGAGTCCTTACACCTCATGGAGATGAATTTCTCTTGTGTTGCTCCACCAATACCCTTTACAGTGGTCCACCTCCAAGCCCCGTCCTGCTTTTGCCATAACCACCAAGAAAACCACAGGCAACCATGTGGGGATGTATTAGGGTGCTGGAAGAACATCCTCCAGCATGGCAGGGGCCCTCCATCACTACCCCCTTGTGCTGGTGTCCTATGAGAGTCAACAACTCCTGAGGTCTCCAGGCCAGCCACGAGACCTTGCTGTCAATTTTCCATCAATACTCTATTTATCAAAGAAAATTCATGGTTTTAACCCAGAACAAATGATACTTTGGACTGCCAGGGAGCGTGGATTCAAGGTCATGGTCACCAAATTATGTTGCTCACCTGATGGGTCCCGAGGTGGCTTTCATGGAGGTACCAAAGGGGTTTGGTTTGGGACCTCTGACCACCGAGCTTGGTGGGGTTCACAGCATGCAAAGGGGGCACAAGAGCAAAACACACCCTCACAGCTCCAACACAACAACCCCAAAGAGTGCTGACCTGAGGAGAGGTCTATGAAGTAGGTGCTCCAGGTGCCACTGGACAGGGCGATGTTGACCTGGTAGGATGCTCCCACCTGGCTGACCAGGGCCTCAGAGAGGACAGACTCCACTGCTGAGAGCAGCTCGTCTGCGCTGGGCTTCCTCTGGGCAAGGAGGGGAGTGGTGGGAGGCTCCACCTCGTTCACCATCTCCACACTGTCTGCTGGGGACAACGGCACAGATTAGGGGACACATTTGTGTGGTGAGCCAGACCCACCAGAAAAGGTCTCCAGAGGAAAGAAACCACCTTATCCAGAAAGTCTTCAGCTAAGCAAGAAGAGGGCAACTGGTCTTGCCAGTTCCTGCTCCACTGTCTGCCATGGGTTACTCTTCCCTGGCTAACAGGGCGAGGAAAATTATCCCTGAAAAGTTAATGGGGCACCAATCGGTGCAGGGTTTCTGGAAAAAAATCCACATGACTCTTGGGAAACTCAGGCTCGATTTTGCCTCGTGGAAATGCTGAGATATGAATTGGTCTTGAGCCCAGGGCTCCTGCAGATCTGCTTCTGCCCTTCCCAGTCCCTTCTCCAATGTCTTGTTGGAATGGTGGTTCTGTGCCATGTGCTGTATGGAGCTGTGCCCGCAGCTCTCCTCCCTGCTACCAGCCTGTCTGTGCTGTGCTCGTAGGAGCATGACATCTCCCAGACTTTGACTCCTCTGTCAGATAGCCAATGGACACAAAGGTCACCTGGCAGGAGGGACATGACCCAGCAGAGGAGCAGTGACCCAGGGTTGGTTACCTGCCTCTGGAGCGCCGGTCCCGCCGCCGGCCAGGGCCAGGGTGCTGGCCGCAAGAAAATGGGACCAGCCAGCTTGCTGAATGGTGGCCATCAGCACCTCCCAGCCCTGGCACTGGTGGCCCGGGGGCTGCAGGCCCCGCCAGGTTCTCCCGGGGTGGCTGCAGCCCAGCCTCCATGCTCAGCTCCACCCGGTCCACCTCCAGGCCCCACGACTTGGTCATGTCGTTAATCTCCAGCTGGGAAGAAAGGGAGAGGTGTTGACAGCTTTGACAGCCTAGGCAGAGCTGGATATGGCCATGGAGACCACCTCCCCACCATGGCACCTCCCACCATTGCCATCCTATAGCTTGTGCTGCTGCTGCCCACCAGTGGGGTGTTACACCAGGCTCAGTAGTCCTCCTTCTCCTCCAAGCTGTCAGCTCTCACATCCAAACCCTCCTCCCCCAGTTGCTCTCCCAGCTTGGAGGAGGCTGGGACAGGGGAGACAGCTCTGTCTTGTTCCTCTTTCCATGGTCCTTTTCCTTGCTCCCTCTTGGGCAACACATCCTGGCATGGTGCTCCACCAGGCAGTATCTCTGGCCTCCAAACCACCCTAGGGACCCCAGAGGTATCCCCCAGCCTCTTTTTACATCAGCCCTTATAGACATTGAACCCACAAGATCTTGGCCTGACCCAGGCTGACTGCAGGCAGGACTCACTGCCCCTCTGTCACTACCTTGTCCTTCTTCTCTCACCCAAAGCCCTTTCCAGTCTCCCTCCAGACATTTTCCTGATGGAGATAAGGAGGTCAAATCACAACACGTCAGCCTTTCTGTGCACCCAAAGCCCTTAGAGATCAGCCACAGAACTCTGGAGATCTGAAAATATCTGCTCCCTGCTAATCACCACATTTTCCCAGCTCCCTTCCTTGTCCAGGTCTGTGGCCAGGTAAGACTTTCAGCAGCTCCATCTTTTCCTTACTGTCACTTCAGCACCACGATCCCAAGGGTTTGGGTGTCCTGGGGGGCTCTGAGGTAGTCCTCACCAGCAGCTGCTCCCCGATCCTCAGCTTCTCCACCTGGATCTCACGGAGGCTCTTCTTCATCAGGGTCTTGGTCATGGCGTTCTGTGCTGTCATCCGGGTGGCCGCAATGAGGTCCTTCACCATCATGACGGACAACACGGGGTCCCACACCCGGAATTGGACGTCGGCACCCATGGAGATGATTGCCCCATCCTTGGAGGTCACCTGGGGCAGAAAGGAGTCAGGATCTCTGCCGCTCTCCGCCCCACGGCCCAACCCTTGTGTGTAGATCCTGGGAGCAAAGGCATTCCTAGATGTCTTTGTTAAGAGGATTATTGGAAACAAAACCAATCCAAATAATTAATTTTCGGCTAGCTTGGATGGTGAGGACAGTTTCCAGCATGGGCTGTTATTTAAAGACATCTGGGAAGGGTAGGGACTGATGGTTTTGGGATGTCTCCAGCCAGGAACACCCTCTGAACAAGGCAAGAGGAGCTTTTTGACCTCAGGCAGGTGAGGACTGACTACACTGACTGACTGACTACACAGCACCAGCTACAATGTCCCTGGCCTTGCCAGGAGGAGCTGAAAGCTGGGTCACCAAGGGTCAGACCATCCCAAAATCCACCTGCTCTGGGAATTTGAGAGCTACTTCTCCATCCCACCCTGAGGGATGGCAGTCACCTTGCAGGGGGGCACGTTGAAGGCCCTCGTCCTCAAATC